ACGTGGTTGTCCCATGTGGCCGTATTTTATTTTTTTTGTGATTTGACCTCCTATTTTAAATTTCTCTTTCAAACACACCCCACTTATTTACAGTTTCACCCTATTTTTTTCAAAATTAATTTTAAACTCATCTCCAAATCTATATTATTCAAAAATTCCATAAAAATAATAATAAAATTATTTTTAATATATTTTTTTATTAATATTAAATTATCTCAAGTCAAATTTTGAACTCGGTTGTTACAGTATTATCATTAAAAATCGAATATTTAGAATTAAAATATGAAACATGATATATTAGTAATCGGATTAAACATTGATAATAAAAGTTTGTACTCTTAAATTTAGGCGTCAAATGATTTATCATAAATATCTATTTGTGTATTTTGTAATAATATGATAATTTTTTAAAATATACTAAATTTTAAAAAATACAATTTAATTTATCATATAACAAAATAGTAAATAGCTATTTATGGAACAAATTGTAAAAAAGTTTATAAAATAAAATTTTATCTAATTTTTAAAAAATTATGTTAATGGTTGGATAACAAAACACTTGTAAAATATGACATAATTATATATAATTTATTTGTATTTTTGATTCAGTCAATATTATTTAATATTAATTATTTAGTATTAAAAATAAAGTTTGAATTTTTTGGTCTCTAATATGAAATTGAATTCATATGAGCATGTAGAAAGGCGAGAATTTAAAAGTACGTGTGACATTAAATTTTGAAATATCGACAGATTTTTTCTTATTTAATGTTATCATCTAAGTACTAAAAAACATTATATTATATTATATTATGTTATTGAATTTATACATACGTACGTGTTTGTCTCATATATATATATATATGTATGTAATATTATATAGAATACGATGGAAGGTTCAAACCAAAAAAATAAAAATCAAGATCTAAAATCGGACCGTAGTTTCGGGTCAAGTGAAACGGGGTGACCCTTAGATCCAAACCCGCAAAGAGGAAACTAAAATGGGCCTACCAAAATTGATAACCCGATCCATCTTCAGTTATAGGCTATAACAATTATGCAAGACCGTCTTAACCGTCTACGAGACTCGGACCAATTTTAGTATACCCCAAATTGAACACCGCGCGAGGTCTGGAGATCGAACCGCAAAATGGCGCCTGTGAGAGCCACCACCACGGGCGCTGTTATTGCGGCGGGGACAATCTCTATTTCCATGGCAGTGCTTTCTTACTTTATCTGTGCTCAGAATCGCTGCAAGAAGAAGGAGGAGAAGAAAGGGCAGAGGAATGGACTCGTTGATGCGATTGGCAACACCCCATTGATTCGCATTAACAGCCTCTCCGAAGCAACTGGATGTGAGGTTTATTCTCTCCATTTCTGTTGTCTCGAAGTGATTTTTCGTCTGGTTTTGGTATTTGGGTCTCGTCTGAATTTCGTTTTTTTTTTTGGGGTTACTGGCTCTGTTTTATTTTTTTTTAAAAAAAAATTATGAGTCGAATTAACTCGCTCTGTATTCAAGTGTGTTTGGTTTTACTATTGCTTTTTAGATCTGGGTATTCTCTAATTTCTGTGTTTGATGATTTTTTTTAATATAGTTGTAGTGGAATTTCTTGTGAATATAACTATATGTATAGTACTAGCACAGTCATATCTTTAAGTGATGATTTCTATGTATTTCTTCTTTCCCAATTCAGGTCTTCTGCATCTTTTGTTGCCAGTTTAGGATTTGTATGATCATATGAATTTTCCCTACTTCCCAAGTGAAGTGATAGATTCTTCAATTTATCTCTGTCTGGTTGATCTGAATTCCCATTTCTAATTTTTTGCAACAACTGTATTTACTCCCTCAGTATGTCTGTTTACTATATTTATGTATTTGTTCCATCTTTTGAGCTGTCCAGATTCTTGGCAAATGTGAATTTTTCAATCCAGGAGGCAGTGTGAAAGACAGGGTTGCTCTGAAAATTATTCAGGAGGTGAGATCCTTTAACTTTTTTTTATTGGTAAAAGAAATTAAAAGTATCCATGCTTAGATATCTGGTAACTTGAAAATAGAAATTAAAATTCATTCTAAGCTGACCTTGAAAAGGAGAAAGGTTATGGCTTCTGGTTTTGCTACTGACCAAAGTAAGTTCCTTGAGAATTTTTTACAGACATGTGAGGTTGGGTTTGCAAATATTTTCTTTTTTTTATATTTTACATTTTGTTCCTTGGCAGGCTCTGGAGTCTGGTGAGCTAACTCCAGGGGGAGTAGTAACTGAGGGGAGTGCTGGCAGCACCGCTATTAGCCTTGCCACCGTGGCTCCTGCCTATGGATGCAAGTGTCATGTGGTTATCCCTGATGATGTTGCTGCTGAGAAGGTATTTATAGTAACGTTAAGGATACTGTATAAGCATGCTCGATCTTTGATGAATATGTTTGTTCTTGAGTTGAGTAATTAACTTCGCCGTGGTATTAAATTTTCTTAGTCACAAATTCTTGAAGTCCTTGGAGCAACTGTGGAAAGGGTAAGGCCAGTGTCAATTACTCACAGAGACCATTATGTAAATGTTGCTAGGAGACGTGCGCAGGAAGCAAAAGTATTAGCTTCAAAAAATAGAGATGTGGACCAAAAGTTTAAGCATATTAATGGTTACATATCTGATGGGGAGAAGCAAGAATCAGTTTTCCCAAAATCTTGTACTGGAGGTTTCTTTGCTGATCAGTTCGAGAACCTGGCAAATTTCCGTGCTCATTATGAGGGGACTGGGCCTGAAATCTGGGCGCAGACCGGTGGGGATCTTGATGCATTTGTTGCAGCTGCAGGCACAGGTGGCACTGTAGCTGGTGTCTCCAGGTTTCTCCAGGTCCAATCCTTGCCCCCTTCTAGAAAATATGAATTCATATTGCAATGTGAAAATTTCATTAATGTATTATTGCACGTTCAACAGGAAAAGAATCCGAAGATCAAGTGCTTCCTAATAGATCCTCCTGGTTCTGGGTTGTTTAATAAGGTAACTAGGGGGGTGATGTACACCAGAGAGGAGGCAGAAGGATAAAGGCTGAAAAATCCTTTTGACACGATAACTGAAAGGATTGGAGTCGACAGATTAACTCAGAATTTCATGATGGCAAATCTTGATGGTGCATTTCGGGCACAGATAGAGAGGCAGTTGAAATGTCGAGGTTAGTTTACTCTATCACTATTCCTTTTAGCTATTGCTGAGAAGGTGATTACAAATCTCTACAATTGTGTTTAAAGAAAAAATACCATGCCAGAACTACCAGGGTATTCATAGGATCACTAGAACTGGTGGTTTCACGCCAACCCTCCGTTAGCCCTTTACTTTTCTGTAGTCAAGTCTTTGAAATTTCATGGTTTTATAGTTTCTCTGAAGTTTCATTAAGTTGTTTCTGATCCTAGAAATTCACTTGAATTTTCCAGGTTTCTCCTGAAGAATGATGGTCTCTTTATTGGAAGTTCATCTGCAATGAACTGCGTTGGGGCTGTAAGAGTGGCAGAATCTCTAGGCCCTGGTCATACAATTGTCACTATTCTGTGTGATAGTGGAATGAGGCATCTGAGCAAGTTTTATGACGCTCAGTATTTGGCTCAGCATGGCTTGACGCCCATGGCAACAGAACTAGAATTTCTGAGAATAAAATGGAAACAAACAATTTTTTGAAGGGAAAAATGAAAAACAAGTTGACTTCAAGTGTTCACTATCGAAAATTTCAATCCTGGCAATAGCAGCTGTATGAATTTATTCAAGGTTGGATCACAAAGGTGCACTCTAAAGGATGCAACCTGTATCTTTGACAGTCTTGAAGCTGTAGAAGTAGAGCATATTAGCACAGATTATTTTGTAGGAATAGGCACATTATTACAAGTCCCTTTTGTATATAGGCTGATTGAATTATTCATTGGAAAGTCCAGTGACGAACTGCAGTTAAAAATCATTATTGTTTTTTGTATTTCTAATGAGAACTGGACCATTTTAACTTTTTGTAAGATGTTTGATATGCATTAATATCGAGTTTATGCCAGTTTCCCATAGACAGAAGATCAAATTTTCATGCAAGCAAGAATATCAATTACCAAATAGGAAAGAAAGTATCTTGGGTGTTGCAAGCAAACAGTTTTTGGTAATAAAATACTTTCAGATAAATTTTTGAGGGCAATAATACATTTCTTTTTCCATGAGTTTTATAAACAAGTTTGCTTTAGATATTTCTGATGGTTCAGATCAGGTCAAAGATTTTTTCTTAAGAATCTTAAGATCAAGTTGTTTTCTTTGGTTTTTGAAAAGGAAATCTTTTGTAAAAATGTAAATTTTGATTCAGACATCTGGCAAAGATAACAGATAGTAAGGATACAAAAATGTTCAACCCAAGTCTTATTGAGATCATACATAGACTTCCTTGATAACATGTTTTCTCTTTAGAAGAGACCAAATCTTTGTAGTAACAAGGATCAACCAAAGATGAGATACTGAAAGCTATCCAAAGCTCCATTTACTGGGGGTACCATTTCTCGAACTGAGACTCATGGCAATGTGGATCAAGCCAATCGCGGGAGGAGCCTTTTGACATGTTGACACTGCCTTTTCCGCCACCCACAAGTTCCTTTAAATTTTCCACCTTATTCTCCCTCCCTGTTCCGCTGATTCTTTTGTCTGCTTCCTTTAGTTTCTGCTTGAACCGCTGTTTCCGGCTAGATGGATTCAGCTCTTGCGGCTTTGATTGTGAAGGAGGAGCTCCGTGTGGTCCGAGGTAGATGTTCTCCTGAACCTTATCCTACAAAAGCACAGGGAAAAGAAAGCATTGAAATATGCAGGATGGGATAATTGCTTAATATAGACGCAATCAGAGCTTCTAGAAATATGGATCTATTTTGTTTGGAGAAGCAAAAATACTGCTTGCAGCCAACCTTTGAAGGAGGAGGTTTTGACGACTCTAGTTCTGGAGAATCAACTTCACCTTTATCAGGATCTTCTATTCCCAAGCTTGGAATCACAAAACCATCAGTGTCTAGCAAGAAACATCGAGGGCAAGAAATTAGTGCCTTTATAACACCCATGCATATCAAGTTCCTCAAGCACAATATATGGAACTGATGTAACTCGATCAATTCAACTCTATAAGGCAGAACATAAGGTAAAGAGACAGGAAAAACAAAGATACAACCACATGCCTTCAACAATTGACATAGCTCAAAATGATAGGCAATTTTAGGTACCGGAGCAAACCATCTGTAGCCACGTGATTTGGTAAATGCCTTTGACAAATTGACAAAAATCAATATAATAGAAATCTTCAAGGAACGTACAACGATCTATATGCCAATACATAAGCCGGTAGTACCTATACTTTCCGCAAGAACAAAACATCTAAGATAGTTCATTCTCAACCACAAAATATTCATTGCACAGCATGCTTAACTAAATCATATTAATATGTTTTTCAATGTATAGCGCCATTGCATGAAAGAGGCAACATAATCACTCCAGTAAATGCAGAGAGGAACTCCAAAATAAAAATGGCAGCTATGTCAACTTATTTGTAACCTAGGAGCACAAATAAACTGGAAGATATTATGAATATAATTCTTTCATTTCAAAACTTTGTCAAAAAATTATACGAACAAAACTTAGAATAAATCAATCTGGGTCTTCCAACTCAGTTATGTCAGTGAACCAATAATTTTTCTCATGACTTAGCTATATTTGAACTTGCCAAGGTTGAAAACGCAGAAGTTTAGTAAGTAACAACTTTGGTTGATCATGAACTAATAAAAACCAGAGAGCATTTCCCTAAAAATAAAATAAAACGAGCAAAAACGTAGTGCAAATAGAAATAGAAGTAAACAATTCCATAAGCAGAATCAATAATAGCAATGAAGACTGCAATACCCAATGAATTGCCTAAAAATTAAGAGCAAAGCCATTAATACAGTTAACAGAAACGAGGAATTCACAGAAGAAAAAATGAATTGAAAAAATCCAACTTCAATCGGAGCAATGTTCAGGCAATCATCTTAAAATCAGAATACAATAAATAATTAATCAAACAACCTCATATCCAACAACCAGGACAAGAGACAACATTAAAAAATCCAAAATTTACTCTCATCCCCTTTTTTCCTGTGTTTTCTCGGAAAACATACAGGAAAAGAAACCGAGGCAAAAACTTAACAAGGAAAGTACAATTACCCCACTCATCTTCTTCATCGACTTGAGGAGTGGTGCGCACTGGAGATGGGTCCATGATACGCTGATGATCATGGATTTTGAACGGCCACAGGGCGGTAAAAGCCCAAAATCAACAACTTAGATACAAACCCCCAGAAAAATTTAGGTACCTCCCGTCTGATAATCAACGCAGAGTTGCTTTATATACACTCTCAAAAAAAAAAAACGAATATATCTTTATACGGAATCCTGCTGTTTATAAGTAAATATATATTTCTTTCTGGAATTTTAAAACCCTAACCCTAGAAGAAACGAGGATGCTCCTGCCTAGTCCTTCTTTCTCCTTGGTGTTTTTAGATGTTAAGGGTAGTTTGGTCAATTGGTCACGTGATTTTTCTGGTATGCCTGATGTACGGTGGTGATTTGGAGGTGGCAGCGCGTGGATATAGCGCGTGGCGTCGTGCGGGACGTGGAGATTCGGTTCATGATGGGTTGATTTTGGCATCGAGTGGAGGTCAACATCAGGTGCGACCGGATTAGTGGTTTCGTGATTCTCGTGATCTGACGGTGGAAAATCAACCTGAACGCCTGTAGGTCTGGTCTCTAGAATGGGCCCGCCACGTGTCTTTAATTTATATTTCAAAATATATTCATTAAAAAAAGTTTAGGAATTTAATTCGTGTAATATTTAATTTTTTAAATTAGTTTATATATATTAATTTTTTAGCAAAACTTTTGTTTTTATTTAAAATTTTGTAATTTAATTTTTTAGTGAAAATTAATACATCACATGAGATATAAATTAATGGTATTAACTCATATTTACGGGATAAATTAAATTTTTTAAAAAATATAAAAATTAATTTAATCAAAAATTAAAATAAAGACTAATTTGAACATGTAAACAAAATTTGAGAAGAATCTAGATTGACATAAACTATACATATACGTATAAGTAATGTGGCCTCAATGTTTGATTGTATAGAAATAAAAGTTGATGCATACAATATTAGATATTGTTTAATATTTGCTTTTGCATGCCAATATATGCATTAGACCCACATTCATAAAATAATGTATTTACGAATTGTGGAAATAGTAGAAGATTTTACTTGGTATATAATTGTATATATACATATAAGCAAAATATTACAAAGGGGTAGAAGGCATCCAGCCATGATAATTGATAGAAATTCTGAGTATTTAATGAAAAAGTTAAAAAATTTGACCTTATGATTTTCTTGTCTTAATATTTACAAAATGCAGCTGCTATATTTGTCCTTTTTTTTTTTTTTTCTTGATTGACACATACATGCAATCAAGTCTTATTATATCTATACACTGCCTAATTTATACCTTTGCATCTGGACTTCTTTTTACTTCCTGTTCTGTTTGCTTGTGAAAGCAGACTAGTAATAGCCATTAATGGCTGGTTGGATACCAGACATTACCAGCCAAACAAAAAAATTTCATCACTGTCATGGGCTTCCATGAACAAAGCCCTGAAATATCATGTAAACAGAGGAAGAAAAATATAGAGTCATACATGTATATGATTACATATTGATGGCCTTTACAGAAAAGAGGAGACAAAGGAAAATGGGTAGAAAAAAAGTGTCATAATTGGTGAGCAGTGTGTGTGTGTGTGTGTGTGTGTGATTTTTGGCTATAATGTATCTGACAAAATTTTTTTGCAGTAAATCTCCTTTTCTTTTTTTTTTTTTCTCTTAAATTATTGTTGTATTCACTAGCACAGGTTTTTTTTTATTTTGTTGGTCAGATTTTCTGTCCACAAGATAAAATTAATGATCTTTTCAGGGGTTGATATTGACCCATTAGAGTTGTTGCATCTCTTGGTCTTTGTCAGCTTGTTAGATTTCGTTTGGCTCCTGAGAAAAATAGAGAGAGAGAGAGAGAGCGAGCGTTTCTGTAGGGATAGATTGTAGATGGAAAAGATCTTTCAAATGTATTAAATCGATGTTACAAGGGTCTTGTTTTGTTTTGTCCAAGGATTAGATATATTTATATATACATACAAGGTTCATGTGTTCAGCAAAGATGTGTTTCACATGGATTTGGCAAGTTCCAAAGCTTAAAAAAAACATTTACAGTCTTTTGCAATTTTCAAGAGAATCATAAGTTGCAGGGATAAGAACAAGAGTGTTTTTGTATTGGATTTCTGGCTTTTTAGTATAAACACAACTTGGAAAAAATCTTATAGCTGCTTCAAGGTTTAAGCTTTTTGGAGTCTCACACCAGGTATTCTTCTTCTTCATGTTTTTACTTCACTCTATCCGCCTGATCTCTGCATTTTGAGGTTGCTTTTCTTGATTTCTTGAGTTTAGAGACTGAAAGTTGGAAGCTTTTTTCTGGTTCTAGATTTCTTTTTCCATACCCAAAATGCCCTTTATCGCTTTTTATAGACCCAGCAAATCTTGAACCTTACTCTTCCTCATGCTGTCCTACCACCTGCATGAAAAAATGCCATAGAGAAATGTAGAATACCTGCTTTTTGCCATATATGATTCTCCTCTGTTGTCCTTTTCACAGATCCACAACTAGGTCAATCTCATTTTTGCAGTTGAGTTTTCTACAAGCTTTTCTTGTTTGTTTATAATTTTCAGTTTCTTCAATGTTTGATGCTGGTTTTTTATGGTGAAAATGGAGAATAGTCAAATCTGTTCATCACTGTCTTTCTTCAAGGCTTCTTTGTTTTATGTTGCAGTCTTGATATTTTCTCTGATGTTGACTTGTTTCTTAAGCACTTCTCCTAAGCTCTTTTCCTTCCTAGTGACAATCCCAATTTTGGGTCTGTCAACAATTTTGATTCTCTCATTCTCAAAAAGGAAGAAAAGGGTTGTTTTGGTTGAGAACCCAGTTTCCCAAATCCAAAAAGAAAGCCAAAAATATGAGAAGAATAGCCTGGTTGAGACAGAGCTTAAGCAGAAACCAAAAATGCTGGCAGCAGAAGCATGTGATCCTAATGCTACTGTCCAAGAAACTGATCAAGCTGCTGAAATGCATGAGTTCATAGTTGAATCACCAATATCAGACAGTGAAAGCAGCAGCATTGAAGAATCGATAACAAGTTCCGAGATCAACTTCGAGCTTGATCATGGTCAATGGATTTATCCCAACAATATGGGCCATCAAAATGTATGTTCAACAGTTTCTTATGATTCAGTCTCTGAGGAAGAAGATGAAGATAGCCTCATTGAAATTGCTCTTCGAGGAGGTGATTCAACTGATTTGAATTATGAAGATCAACCAAAGCAAAAACTGCAAAGTTTCTTGCCAGATTCAATTTTCAGGCAAGAGGAGATAAGGGAGCTGTTAGCAGAGATCAATGAAGATGAAAACTTGATTGAGATTGACATTTCAATGGGATCCATCAAGTCTCCTTCAAAAAGCCTTGAGATTGAAGCATGAATGGTTACTTCAACACTGCCTCAAGAGGACCATTCAAGATGTATTTACCCTAAACTTTAATCTCAAATTTTCTGATACAAGGAGCCAGGGTTTAGGTTTTAGGATCTTTCTTATAGTTACCATTTTGGTTAAATGTTATAAAGATTTTTTTTTTTTTTTGGTGGGTCAAATGAATTAGCTTATCTTTATCAATTATTATGCTTAATATTACTTAGATATGTATACTATGAAAAAATATAAAGCTAGCGAAAATTTTGTAAATGTGATTGATTCACTTTTATTTTTGACTTTCATATGCAGTTTGTATATAATATGGGACCATAATCAAAGCATGCCAATATTTGAAAATGGAATCTACTTTCTTTTGCCTTTTTCATTAGTTGGTAGAAGGTGTATGTTACATAAATAAAGGTAATTAGCTCCCCATCGAGTCATGAGTTTTTGTAGGTTTAGACAGGAGTTTGTGTGTTATGATTGGTTTATGTGTTTATATAGGACTTAAATTGTGAATGATGCGTATATTTCATCTAAATATAAAAATGTTAGGAATATCTACTTCTTCATCTTCTACCTTTTCTTGCCCATTTCTCTTGCTTGCATCTCTCCTTTGCAACCTTAGGACCCCCCAATCAACTTCTACAAACAGCTTTCTTCATCTTCATAACCAGAGTCCATTAATGAAGTTCAGTAATCCAGATAGAGTCACTTTACTATTATTATATCATCATCTTCTTCTTTCTCCTTTTCCTTCTCATCATCATCATCATCATCATCATCACCACCACCACCTTCCTGTTCTCTACATGTTAGGAATATCTACTTCTTCATCTTCTACCTTTTCTTGCCCATTTTCCTTGCTTGCATCTCTACTTTGCAACCTTATGACGCTCAATCAACTTCTACAAACAGCTTTCTTCATCTTCATAACCAGAGTCCATCAATGAAGTTCAGTAATCCAGGATAGAGTCGCTTTACGATTGATTATATCATCATCGTCTTCTTTCTCCTTTTCCTTCTCATCATCATCATCATCATCACCACCACCACC